CCCTAGCCAGCCCCACTAGGCATGGAAACTGTGCTGAGCAGCTCAAACAGGCAAGCCCCATGAAACAACCCTATTTTTGCGAAATAGGGTTTCACGACTGTGGATTGGTTTGCAGCGTTGTTGATGTTGTCTCAGGCCCTAGCCAGCCCAAGTAGGTCAGGAAACTGCGCCTTGCAGCTCAATTAAACATAGACCACCCCCCCTCAAGAGAACACTTTTTTTTCAAAGGCATTGGAGCCACCCACCCGCTCACTCGTGCCAGCCAAGCACAAGCAAACCCCGATCAGCCTCGTCCCTCCCAAGGGGTGCGTGTGCTGGTTGGGGGTCAAGAAGACAGATAGACAGACAGACAGAGAGACAGAGAGACAGCCCACCCAGCCAGCCTGCCAGGAGCCAGGCAGGCAGACGAGGTGACTGAAATTATTCAAATTAAACGAGGCGAGGTGAATAATTTCAAAACATTGAATTAAGACGAGGTACGAGGTGAACGAAATTAATGAAATTAGTTTAATTCACCCAGAACAGATGGAAGGGACGTATAACTGCATCAGAATCAATCATCGCAGCAATATCGATGGAAGAACTCCTGCACCGCACACTAGTGGATTTTCAAGGGGCAGGACGGCAGGATGGGCCTATGGTTTTTGTGCAAGGTAAACCCAGCTGGTCAAAAGCTCCACAAGCTGGAAATTTTGAGTGCTCATTTTGGATGTGTAGGAAAAAACAATTCTCTCTCACAGCGAGGTGTTGCATCACATGAACGGAGGTCTTGCACACCAAGCATGTTTCGAGATCATGGAAGGTTCCAAAGTTCAATCTTGGCTCGATGTTTGATTCTCCGGCTTGATCTGTCAAGCAAATTTCAATAATTAGTGTTCAATTGATTTGGCCTCAAATTGTTCAATGTTGATTTCTCCACTTTGGTGTGACAATATCGAAACGCAACTCCAGTTCGTATCAACGAATGTAGACTCTTTGCGAATAAATAACTCTCCCCATTTGGATTGCCGGTTCATATGGGGTGTATTATTATTTTAGGGATCCACATACCCTCTGAGAAGGTGCTTAGAGGCAATGTTGTGTAGGTTTGGAGGGTCCAAGTACCTTCTGAGAAGGTACTTGCATCCCTAGGCTAATAAAGTGTCAACATTAAACATATCACTGAACTCTGGTCTCGTCAAGCTGTGAGACCCATGCCATCGCACGCATTCCAAGCTGCACCAGACCGCACATGACCGCACCATCTCTTCCACTTGGAAGGGCAGGTGATCCACCAGGCATGTGAGCATCTAGTGAACCTGTCATCAACTATATCAACTCGGCGAGTTCCTTCAGATGTCCTGCTCGCCTTCATGAGGCGGGTGGCGACTTGCGAAGCCTACCGCGCCACGGCTGGCAGCGACTTTGGGAGCCCTTCGCGCCCAGGAGTGCCCGAGCGAAGTGGCTGAGAATGAATCCGAAGTGGACACAGCCTGACACAGCTTTTGAGAAAGGCCAAGATGAATGAAGAGGTTTACCATGGCTTACCATGTATCAGATGTTATCGCACTGTGATGGCCCCAATTTTCATGATTTGGGCCCAGCTTTGCGGTGAGAAGCTGCGTTGGGAGGATGGGCGGAGTTTCCGGGTGAAGATGGATGGACCATGATATCAGGCTGGACATGGATGGGTGGTTATTCCAGTTTGAGGTTTGCTAGTTGGAAGTGGTTGTTGCATGTTGTTGCACTTGGTGTTCAGATTTGTTTTGCAGGTTGTTGTTTCAGGTGCCAGTAATTATTGAGTTTGAAAGGGATCTGATCGACTATGCTCCATTGGTTATGGGATGTGGTGGTCCCCTAGGTCCAGATGTAGCGAACACGTGGCCCGTCTTTCTTATTGGCAGAAGAGGTGGATAGAGGGTTGAACAGCTTTCTTTTTGAGTACTGTACCAGGAACTTTCAACCCTTTATTTTGGGCCAAGCCAGTTTCACCCAGTATGGATGTCACTGAAACCCTGACTTGGTCTTGGCATTGTTGAGAAACACAGCTTGCAAAGCAAGCAAGTTTATCGTCGATGCAACTCATCCAATTTTAGGCAATCTGATGAAAAGCGTCAACACTCATGAACACTCCACTATGCATTTCTAGGTACAGGGCCCGCAGCTGCAAACAGAGAGTTGCCTGTGGGTCGCTTGACCACCCACCTCTTGACTCATCTTGGACTATTTCACCTATTAGGAAGATGACTTCTGCCTTATACATTGTGCTACGATTATTTGATTTATATAAATCAGCTAGACCTGAACACCAGGTGCATCATTGATCTAGAAAAAATGAACAACATATGAGCACAATATTGTCAATAAGATCTGACGGAAACCATTAGCTTCAAAACATGTTAAAACCAAGTGAAAATCGCCAACCTGCTTTTAGAGGTAGAGCCCCGTCCCCTTCATTGCTTCGGTCGTAGGAATAGGGACACAAAGGGACCGTGCATCCAACAAAAACAAATGTGCTTCTTTGTATAGGTCTTCACCCATCCTCAAGCCAGATCAAACCAGATCAAACCGACTTGGATGGCACATGATGGCACTAGGAGGACTCCTGAAACGGCGGAGATGCCGGAAGAGACCAGGGAACAGACGGAGGCACCGACTGGGCCCATCCAGGGTGTCACACAGCCGTGCAGCCGAGAGGTTGGTCGAACCAAAGCGAGGTGTTTTTAGCCGATGTGTCCCATGTGGTTCTCCATGGTTCTCCATAGTTTTCCAGGGTTTTTAGTTGGGTGTGTGGTTGGTTTCCAGTCTAGAGTCTAGTTGGTTTTCCGTGTGGTTTGAGGCTAGCTTCTCGAAAGCCAGTTGGATTGCAGCAGTTTTCTTAAAATCCCTTTTTGAAGCTTCAAGGCCAAGCTTCCTCGCTAGATTCACTCGATGCAAACGAAGTGGCCCTGAACGACTTGATAGCTTGGTGCCATGCGGTGCCGTTGCCATGCGTGCCTCTAGGTGCCTGAAGGCCAAAGAGCTTTCGCCTTGTCCCCGGAGAGAACCGAATGCTATGCAGAGCGTAGCTTTGAGTCTCAGCAAGAAGAGAACAGGAGATGAGACGAACCTCACCCTTAGCAAACTTGGATGCCCTGGGGCCAGCTGGTTGTTTAGTAGTATACAGTTCAGTTCATGTTGACCAGATGGGCACGCTATCGCCAACGTCGTGACGGTATCGACCCCACTCCCCACTGGGGGGCCGGCAGTACCATTTGCCCCGCCATCGCCGAGTTGGACGGCACCGGCCCGGCCGAGCTGTCGAGGAATGGGATCCCTTCCAGCAGATGAACGGGATCCGGCGCAAGAAGAACGAACTCTTGCGGAATCCTTCAGCCTTCAGCACTTCGGCGGTCCGTCGGCCGTTCGGGTCAGGATCGGGTCGGCCGCGAAGACCACGGTGGACTCGTTGGGTTCCGCAGGTTGATGTGTTTGCCGGAGGAGTCGGGGAGAGGAACGTCTAGGCACGTGTGTTGTCTTGGCTTTAATGTTTGAGGAGGTTTGGGAGGCGGCAAGCTGTGGGACAGGGCAGATAGATGAAGGAGGTTGATTCTAGCATCGTAGTTTATGCCATATTAGCCCCGTTGATCAGACACACAAGTAATGAATTGCCTGTCAATGCTGCATATTTCGGCGTGAGGAAGGAGTCTGCAGGAGGTCACATAACTAGGTACGACATGGTACGACTAGGTAGGGAACCAGGCAGATACTTGGAGTCTCAGATCTTCTCAGCACTTGGTATAGATCGCTATTAGGTTGGAGGCCATCGCTAGTAGGTTGGAGGCCCCCCCATGGTTTCCCATGAAATTCATTTTCGACTTCCTCACCAATATGGAAAATCGTCATCCTGACGATTCACGGCCTCCGCTCTGACTGCACCACCCCCGAACTTGGGGGAGGCATCGGAGGCCGTCCTACTTGGGTTGCCAACGGCTGGCTGCAGGCTTGGACCTCTCACCACGCCTCCTCTATGGTCGTTCCGAGCACGTGGACGTTCTCATCGAGTCTGGCGTGGCCAGGTGTCGCGGGTACGTTTGCAATGGTTTTCATGTAGAGCTGGGGAGATGGGAGCTTGAATAGTTATCATCTCAGTTATTTCAGGTCACAAACAGATTGAGGTTCAGTATCTCTGCTGGTCAATGGTGTTCATTTGGGTAGCTGTGGGGGTTGACCCACAGCTAGAGGGTGCCTATATGTGCCTATCATTGAGATAGAAAATTCTTGCCGGGCTGAAACTCGAACATCTGGGAGCCCTAGTCCTCCAGGCTGAGACAATCTGCACCCAGTAAGTACGCATGGAAGGAGCACAATAGATGCCTATAGAACCTGAGTGACCTCTATTTTGGACCACCCTCCACCCATCTCCATCCTAAACATGTGGTTGTCGATCTAAAGGTCCAGGTCCTAGTCAGCAGTGTGTATGACGATGACCCGGAACATATCAAAATCTCATTTGGCGAAAGTTTTTTCTCGAGTTGGCGAAAGTAACTACTTTTTTTGCGAAAGATCTGGCAAAAGATTAAATATGTACTTTTGTATGAATGTTCATTTGCTTTCTGAACAGCTGGTGGCAGTGACTCAGAAGCTAGATGAGCTGTGTAAGTTAGATAACCTGCTGCTGCTGCGGCTGCTACTGTACTACTACGACTACGACTACCACTACCACTACCACTACTACTGCTACTACTGCTACTACTGCTACTACTGCTGCTACTGCTACTGCTACTGCTACTCCTACTACTACTGCTACTGCTACTACTACTACTACTACCACTACGACTACTACTACTACTGCTACTGCTACTACTACTACTACTACTACTACTACCACTACGACTACGACTACTACTACTACTACTATTCCTGCTCCTGCTTTGGGGGGTGGCTTTGCCACAAAACTCTACCCCGCAAAAGGCGAAAGTTTGGCGAAAGTTCAGCTCAAGATTGGCGAAAGTTCACCCTGCCACATCTGACCCCCAGCCCATTATGAGCAAGTTTGAGTGACCGGCTACTACAGTGATTCTTGCAATTTTGATTCTTGCTGACACCCAGGAGAAACAAAAGAGACGTACAGGGTGTCAACAGTTATAAGTAGAAGACACATGCTGACAAACAGTGAAGTTTCTATTTTGTGTTTGCCAGTAAAGAAGAAGCCATTGACGTGAACAAAACACAACATACATGGCACACATAAATACAACGTACTTCGGCGAAAGATAAAACGCAGGAAGGCGAAAGTTTGGCGAAAGTAAATTGTTTTTTGGCGAAAATGACGGATCCCGGATAAAGGAATTTAGATCAACTCCCATATGGTCCTTTCATATCCTTGCCTATCAGAGGTCATGTTTGGGGCTCGGTGAAGAGATGTCCTTGGAGGCACCCACCAACGGCCACGCCAACGGCTCGGTCGATCCGTCCACGGTCGTGGACAGAGCGGACTCGGCGGTTTGGACGTGGCAGGTACCTGGAGTTCCAAGGCTTGAAGTTCACTCGCGTCTTGACCTCTGAGGGTCTGATCTCAGTGCCCCTGACCAAGAGTCACTGGGCGGCGACCTCGTCGACGGCACCCGCGGTTCTTCCGGGTGCCGCCGACGGGTGTGTGTGGCTGGCACCGCGGTGCGTTCGCGTCCCACGGAGTTCTACAGAAATATGTTGGGAGTCGTCCTAGAAAGGGAGGAAAGCTTGGTGCTTTTGGCGGATCCAGTCTGCTGCTGAAAACGATGCGCTGAGGGGATGGTTGTTGCTGATTGCGCCGGATGGTGTAGGAGAGATAATCCTTGTAGTTCAAAATTGTTCTTTGAATCAGCACAAGTGGTTTTGAGTGCCTGGCACAAAAGTCATTCTAGTGACATCTAGTGACCATCAGTCACAATCGTTGTTGGTTGACTTCAACTCCAGATCAGGAAAGTAGTTAGTGTGTAGCTATGTGTTGCTCCAGTTTCTCTATTTTATAATGCCTAGCACAGGCTAGTTAGGACCCTCGCCTCGGTTGGCACTACCACCGTTTGGACTTGCACATGGGCAAGTCCCGAAAGACCAGGTCTTTTCTGATCTATTGATGGCTTCCGGGTCATCTGAGGGGTCCAGGAATGGAGAATCCAATATGCGGAGGTGGCAATTACTGCATTTAACTCCATGTCCGGCCAATGGATCGATGTTGTTGGGATGCGTACCGCGCATGCGGGACACAGATGAATCGAATTGAATCGAAGCAATCGCCCCAGCCTCCCTGTGAAACGCGGTGCTTCCGAAGGTGAGATTTTTCAAGATGCCCACCTCAGCAAGGCGGAGAAGAGGTGCGACCAGCGACAGTACGACAGTGCTTGCTTTGGTGCCAAGGGAGCAACAAAGAACACCGGTTACCCTTGAAATCCCTTGAACAAGTCTTATATATAGAACATCTTAAAACTGTCATTTTGTTTGTATTGGGAGTTGGACACTTTTTGTGTGTTTTCCGCGGCAATCAGCAGCAAATGGTGACTTCATTCACTTTCACCAGGTGCCGCGTGATGTGCCACGTGTTGCCATACTTTTCTGTGGAACCATGTGCAACAAGCATAGGGAAAACACCGTGTCATGACCCACGGCTCACCCCGGACATTCGCTGGTTCAGGGATGCTGAGGTGTCCTTTCTTGAAGGTTCCGATTCACCAAAATTCGAGCACCACCCATGTGGAATCCGCATCGTTGCTGTTTGAGAACTGGTTCTTTGCCAAAGCTGACATTTCAATGTTGTTTTTCCTTCTTCAGCCACTCATTCGAGAAATGCTGATGTATAATTCTGTATCATGTACATTTAGAATATCATTTAGAACTGTTTTGAAGTATACCTTGGATGATGAGGAGAAGTCATGACGGTGAAACCGTTAGACTGCAAGAGGTAGTGAGCCATTGTAGGATGGGAGCCATTGGCACATTCACTGGACCAGTTCTCAACATCGTGATCAGCTAGGTGACACATTCTCATACTGTTATATTCCACAAATAGGATAATGATGATAACAGCAGCATCATTTCTTCAATACTATACTGCCTTGCTGTATGTGTGTTTTCCCATGCGGAGGGTTTTTTTTCTCGAGCACCGCCATACCACCGCCGTACCACCGGTGCCGCGATGCCGCAAGTTGAGACCTCGATGCGTGGGTCGATCTTGTGAGAGTGCCAGGATGCTGATGCGTTTCATCACCTCCATCCAACCCTATGTCTCCAGCTTGGCCTTCCAATCTGCTGCACAGTTGGGCGTGGACCAAGCGGCCAAGATCAAGGGACCCAGTGACTTGCTGGTCGAGCTCGTTGGACCGAGTGTAGCCACCCCAAAATGGCGAATCGAATCAAATAGTCGTGAATGTCGAGGAATTGGGTGAGTTTGGGGGAATGTCGATCGAATGATGTTCAGAAACTCATGGAACTTGGAATTTGTGAGTTGTTGGGGAACCTATGAGTTCTTGAACCCCACACCTGTCTCAGGTCTTACTTTGATTAGAATAATATGCATGGTTTCTAGCACATCTATCATGGATGGTCCGGGCCTCCGAAATCTTGGTGTCCAGAAAGAGGGACATCTCTTCGGTCTTCCTTGGCAACAAAGGTTCAGCTCGAATTCGTTCTCTTTAAGAAGGAGCACTCGGAAAAACCATATCCTATGTTTTGTTGGTCGCGCAAGGAGAAGTGTGGTGTTGCCTAAAAGCTTCCCCTGAGTGAGTTTGCGCATATTACACATATTTTTTTGTGATCCACTGAGATCAGTTGGATGCGATCTCCGCCAGCGAATCTCGCCGCAGGCGACCAGAGTGCTTTGGGCATGGCACCTTGACAACGGGGTCCCGCACGCGCGCGGCTTGCGCAGCTGGCAGGAAAAGCCACATTGTCTCAGGTGGGCAATCACAATGAAACCACCGACGGCCAACCAATTGATGTCAAAGGGGAGTCAAATTGACAGAGCGGTAAAGTGATATATGGTAACAAAGGGGTCAACATATATAAAATGGTAAATTGACCCACCCTGGTAATAGGAGATAGCTTCTCGGACATTGATGAAAGTGGAAGATGTTGTCTTTGGACAACTCTCGTGGAAGTCTTCTCCTCGACCAGCAGTACGTATGTGACACTTGGGTTGTATTTGACACTTGGGTTTTGGCTTCTTCCTTGGGGATTGGCAGGCTTCGCGCCATGGCAAAGGTCAACATGCCAAGCAGACGTTGATGTTCTGTAGGGCTTCAGCTCTCCAGCTCTCTTGATCTGCTCGACAGCTGAGGAATTGGATGGGTCTTGGCGTGCCTTTCTGCAGCAGCAGAAGCTCGGAGGGTGGACTAAGCTCGGCTCGTGAGGGGGTTGGTTTGGTCCACTTTCCATCAGGCACATGGAACAGGGGTGTTTGAACATGCATTCTTCATTGAACTGTGAATCGTGTGTCTTTTGCTTGTGGCCTTTACTTGGGGAGATGCCCCATGAGACCCATGAAAGTCATTCGTTTCAGTTGCCAAAGAACCGACCAAGAGCAGACCACTTCTCCTTCCGCAAAAGATGCAGATCACCGTCCGGAGATATTTGAAGTCTAGAATCTACACTCTGACTCACTAACATGGAAGTGGAAAACCCCTTGCTGGTAGAGGAAAGTCGTCTTCTCAGGTAGAGAAAGGAGGTGTTGCATGGCTGAATGCTCTTGTTTGTCAAAAGCGACCGTGCATTGGAGATTTGCACGGTGTTGGTTGCTCTTTGTGTGATGGACCGGCGTCTCAGTTGTCTCAGGAGAGCACATTGGATTTTGCATGGAGACCTTGCCAGTCTTTAAGCCAAAACGTATTTTATTTGTAAAGGACCCACTGCTCCTGCACGGACCAAGAAGGCGCACGTAATACATATGCATGGAGACCTAGCCTGCATCATCCATACACCGGTTTGCTTCTCACAAGCTCTTTGTGTTACGATGTGAAAGTGGTGCCTTAGATGAGAGCATGGGGGGGAGCCCAAGACACCACAGCTCAGCCTACAGAGAGGTGCCTATCGGCGCATCGCTCGTGGGAACGGACCAAGGAACCTGTCGGAACGCTTACAAGACTTCATCACCTATTCTATTTGCTTGTGGGACTGGGCCCCAACGGAAGCTTTTCCACAGCTCAGCTGCTCCTTGGATGGATATAACGATGCCCCTTTAACGCCCATAGACGAACATCGATCTGAAAGCAAATGACTTGAACTCGATTATGAACATCTTCAACGACCTGTCTGCACAGTTGGAGCCCGTTTGGGACTGTTTCCGTGGTTGAATCCTCCATAGCCTGGTGAGACCAAACACCCTGGTGCAGGTTGGCGAAATGGGAGGGCGTGGGACCTTGTGACCACTGAATCCACTGGCGAATGCTCAGGTGACGCGACCCGCATCCCTCTATCTAATTTTGTGTCTTTGAACTTGCAACTCATGGAAATCTCAGATATGTCACTTGAAAGTTGAGATGTTCACTACAAGTGAGATGTTCACCACAAGTGTATACAAGTGTATGATTTGGGTAAATGCTTTCTCGATACTGGAATCAATCATCAAAGCCACAAAGGAGGATGTTCCAGCAAAGGACGGGCAGAAGTCTTGGATTTTGGCTGATCACACTCCAGTACTGAAAGGGTCGGGACTGGTGATGAATCCTTACTTACTACTTACTGATGCTACTGTAGATTGCAGCTACAAATGACACACCAGCCAATATTGTCATATGATCTTTGTGGTTGAGTTGTCAACTATCTGCTTTTGCTCAGCACTCCGACCGTCGGAACCGGCAACCGTCCCAGGTCGGGAGGCCTTGGAACGGCTCGGAGCCTTTATCTCCTCGTTGGGTTTGTATGGTCGGGGCACCAGCATGCCATTGCTTTTCCCCATGTGCCTTTGCTGGAGACGGTCTAAGGCCAAGAGATGCTGCAGACTGCAGCATTGAAGGACACGCGAGACATTTGATTCTTGAAAGTAGACGGCGTATTTCGAGGTGAGGGTATCATTCATATCTAAGTCAAAGCGTCAAGCAGCTGATTGTTGCTAGTGGAGGGCCATGGGCAACACCCATTATAAACCTATTCGTTGGTGTTTTATCCCAGATGTTCCAGCAAGAGTCTCCCTTTTGCTCATAACAGTGTCTTCGTGTTCAGTCATTTCTTTGCAGAGTCCTTCGAAACTGCTAAATCCTCTGGTGCAAGAGTCTCCAAGAGTGCCTGCCCAACGTTCAACTTGAGATATTCAAGTGGGGTGTGTTTGTTGGAACCTGAGTCAATTTGCTTAAAACTTGGCTCTTCGAAGGAGGATCACAAAATGCAGAAGACCTGCCAGTCGTTTGGTGGGTCCAGAAGAGGTCGCCGGAGGCTCTTGCACCAACATCCAACCAAAACCTGGGGTCTGTCTACTCCAAATCAATCAATCCTGCGTGTGGATGTGAGGTATGGCATTGGTGAAGTCTCCCAAGGCTACACCCGGCTGTGCGCGGTGCACCGTGGCGTCTATGCGCTGCGCACCAGGGCGACCCACTTGCTTGCACAGGAGGACTGCACTGCGGCCTGCGGGTCAGCCAGCCTTGCTAGATCGTTGCCCTTGAGTGAGTCTAGACCATGGTCAAGGATGAACGCATGAATGAGAATACTGTAACATATATTTTTTGCCAGGGGTGTTTTGGCAGTTGTTGATGGTTAAAAACCCATGACCTGCAATAGTAAATATATGTAAATACAAGCGTTTCTTACAAAACAGCACATCCAAGAGTAGCACCAACAATTTGTTTCTTTTGGCAAGAGCGTTGCGAGGGGTGTCATGAAATTCAAGGGCTGGGGTGTCCGTCCCAGAATCCTTACTAAAGAACCTGAAGTTATAAGTCAAGGTAGAGGAACCACTGCAGTTTTCCCTGACAGGGGGCCATTCACAGACGGAAACCTCCTGGATGGTTACGTAGTTGTTGTCCACTATTGATCATGATGTTGCCAAGCAGCATGCCCAAGCCCTATGACTATGAGAGTCCCTACAGAGCACCTCTTCAAGACCCAAACAACCCAAGGAACAGCCACAGGCATAGTCCCTAGTAGAAATCTTTGCACTCAATGAGCACTGCAAGACCCTTCAGTGTCCGCAAACACAAGCGTTTTCCAAAATATCATGTGACGACAACTGTTCAATCACCAGCTGGCCCTAACACAACCCTTCACTACAGGTTTCTTGGCGGCCACACTTGCAGGTCTCAGCCTCACCCAGCAGCAAGGTCAGGCTTAATGGGCAAACACAAGTTGGCCACAAATACAAGCCTTGACCAAAACATCGTGACTAGTGATTAAGATTCAACATATCACACGGACACACAAACAATGTCATCGCAGGCTCCAATTGCTCATAGACAGCATAGGGTTTGGATTCCGGGGCTGGAAGGTCTAGTTCTCAGTCAAAAAGACTGACTGATAATGGCTTCAATGTGCACATCGCAATAATTAACCTCCCCCGAGTGAAAACTGTGGCAGAGGTTTGTCTCGGTAGAGAATCAACACCCAATTGACCTAAGAGATCATCTATTTTTGGTGTTGTTTGTTTATTTGGTTCTATTAGATCCAAAGGTCTTCAGGACCCGCAAGTCACCCTCGGATTGGAGCCCCACATAGATGGGTCAGGTGCCTAGGTGCAACTCCTCAACTTGGGCCAGGCGGCCAAGTAAGAGTTGCTGGATAACTTTCTTGGCTAGGATTGAGGATGCAGTCCATTTCCATAAGGTCGCACCAATGAACTGGCTTCGGTTTCAACAGGGAATTTTTGAAACACTGGTTGCTCGTGACATTGCCCCGTTGGTTGATTCTGCTATTTAACCGCTATTTCAGTGGGATCTCCATACAACCCTTCGGTTCACTGGAAGTTCAAGACCATTACATGTTGTTCCAGTTCAGGAGGAAGATGGTACGATGCAACTCTCTGGTTTAGTCACCTGTCGTGGCGAGCAAATCAAAGCCTCACGCCTGGTGGCCGCGTGTGGGGAGCTCCTGCAGGACCAGGCGCTCTGTGCGCCGGTGGAAAATCCTCGGGCGCTCCGGCAATGATATATATATATATGGCCCCTAGGGATTCTTCAGGCCTGATCTGTCAGATATATCACCTGTTGTGAGGCCTGTGACCCGGCCGAGACGTGTAGCGAACTTGAGACTTGCGATTGGATTTCTTTGCCCAGGTGAGTCAGGTTAGAGTTGGGAAGTGATCAAGGGCCAGCAGATCAAAGATCCTGATGCTGGGGCCCACTCAATTGGCGCGCAGCGTATACCAAAAAAAGAATTGGAGTTTGCAAAACTTGCCAGGTTGGCTACCAGGCATTATCACTATGAAATCAATCATGTTTCAGTGGTAGAGCGTAGGACTCACCCTCACCTTTCCGCCGCTTCGGCGCCAGGTGCCTAGCCAGTCCTCTTCGCAGCATTGCCGGCGCATGACCGTGCTGCTGAGTTCTCCTCCGCTCGGGGAGGAGGGCGTGAGCCTCTGTGTGGTGCCTCCGCAGTCTTTGGATCCGCCGCTGCAGAACGTGGTGCAGGTGGGGATCCAAGGACTGCGCCCCTGGCACTCTAAAGGGACGAAAGAGTATATCACATATACCGACATGAACAAAACACCAAACAGTCACAACAAGATGACCACATAATGGGGATTAGCCTACTAACATGTAAATTTTAACATGAAATTTGGTTGATTAGATTCAATAATTAGACACATTCCTAGATCTTTGCAGTGATCAAACTTGATGCCCTGGTTTGAGAACACTTGAAAAAGGTCACAAACAGGCACCCCATAAAGGTCGCTTGGAAGGTTGTCACAATTTCACCTCCGGAGGTGCTTCAGCTGGACTTCAGCAGTGGCGCCTGTCCGCATGGCTACTTTCTGGCGCATCTCTCACAAGCCTCCATCAGCCCTTTAGATCAAGTGCTGAAGTGGTGAGGGTTGCATGAACTTCTTGTAAGGGTTTATGTTCAGCAAACCACATTGAATGGTTGTTTATGGTTGTCTTATGGATGTTGTTGTTGTTGTTGTTGTTGGCATTTCTTATGGCATTTGTAGATGCACATGTTGTGAAGATCGTTTTGCAGTAGACTGTCAGATGGAAGGATGTGGATTGGCCAAAATGTTGTGGAAGATTCTGCAAAACCATTTTCCCAGACCAGTGAAATAACTACTTACATGAGGGTCATAGATGGGGCAAATGGATATAACTATTCCAGTCCCGTGGATGGTTTGGGTACCAATCGAGGATCTATGGTGGTCTCCCTTCTGAGTCCTCCGCCTGTCCATCCCCCTCTCAGGCGACCCGGGTCCTTTGCCCTTTGCGGATCTGGACCGAGTTTTGGAGGAACTGCTGAAGCGATCTCCAAAGACTGCCTGTATCTTCAGGTCGAATCCGTCGGTCGGAGTCGGTCAGTGCAAGAGGATGTGTGCAGGGCATGTGGGCAGGGCAAGACGTGTGTGTGCGTTGCAGTATCAACGTGAGACAATGACCAGAAGTGTAGGATGGATTGCAGTGTTTGCTTGGAGCCGAACCCATTGTCGCGGCAGTTATAGTGTCCATGTGCGAAGCAATTAATATAGGTCAATAGCTCAGCGCCGCTAAACATGCATCATCAGCATCAGCAAAAGAGCTTGTGGCGTGCATCAGCATCAGGTGAGCCTTGTTTGGGCTAAGGGGAGTGATTGTTTGAGCGAACTACGTGAAATTCGAGGCATGAACATGTGGATTATACTTCAGGTTGACCGATGGTTCTAGCCCTGTGAGCCATTGGCATGACTCATGACGCCAAGCCTCTGATAAGAAGTAATAATTTTCGCATTCCCTCAAGTGTGTGGTGGGTCTAAATCGAGACGGTGCTGTCGTTTGGGTGCTGTCCACGCCCTCTCCTGACCATCCTGTTGATCCTGTTGCCCTCCAATCGAACATAGTAAGCCAGAAGTGAGGTTTGAAGGGGAACATCTCTTTCAACACGTACCTGTCAGTTTGCCTTTGTTCCCTTTATGTATCTTTGATAATTTGGAGAGCCTTGAATGACTCCAATGACCGTTGCCATCATTCTTTGGAACCCAAACACGGCCCTGCAGCGCACAGGTGTCGCTACCTGCAACGGCCGCGCGACGTGGCCACGCGCTGGGACGTCTCCACGAGAACGGGTGGCTTCATGGAGCAGCTTTCTTTGCACTGAAGAAGGGGGGACCGAGGGGTCCTGGACTCATATGCCAGTTGGATCAAGGGTGCACAAAGCATGCAAAGTCATCCCCGAAAAGACAGCAAGCAAACAGTGGCAGACAGCCTGGGCATGTGTGTGGGTATTAGCGGCCAAAGAAGTTCTGGGGCTTCGAACACGTGTGGCGCGAAGATCTGGAAAAACCCTTTGAAGATCGGTCGTTGCAGCGGAGTAAGCTTCCGATCGAGACGAAGGGACTGGTGATTACGACTGGCCCGTCTCCACTGGCACGACAAGATCCACCCACCAGGTGAAGAAAGTCACATAATCCGTAGATTCTGCCGGGCGGCTAAGGGGGAGGCGTGGAAAATTAAGGTTGTTCTAGGTGCCCATGTATAAGTGGCCGTTGGATGAATGGCCTGTTGCGTCTAACCTCCTATCCAGACCATAATGTACACCTCCACAAACACACCATCAGTGTGAAAGTGAAGTGGCCTTTCTTGGCACCTAGAACCTCTTTGTTGAAAGTGGATTTACTGATTTTACTGTATACCAGAATTGAGCAGGTGGAACGAATCATTGGTCCCCACAAGGATTCAACCGTCCGTTCGTTCCCGAACCTGGGCGTCTCGCCGTCCGCATGGTCGAGGAGATGCCTCCATGAAGAGCGCCTGGCCGTGGTCTCGGACCCTCCCGCCGTGCCGCAGCTGCTGGCGGTGCAGGAGGTCCACGATGCCCGCAGCTCGGCCGGAGCTTGGAACGGAGCTCGAACGGGAGTGGTGTGGTGTCGCGGGGTGGGGGAAGGGGTGGCGATGAAACAAACATCCATGAACATCATGGGAAGCTGACGGGTTTTGCTGGATGCGAAATGAATCAAGACCAAGGCTCACACTGGGGAGACGAACAGGTGGTTACGCTTGCAGTGGCAAAAGAAACTAGAGAGAGAGAGGGAGAATATGGGAGAATGATCAGATCCTCATATCCTCAATAAATGCAGGATCATCCGCCTGCAACTCAACATCCGACTCGTGGTGGATCCTAGGGCGTCATAGCAACTGCTCAGGGCGCCGGCGGTCGCCGCGCGCGCGCGCGAACCGAGCCGAGGGCGGATCTTCGGGAGCTTCTTCGGCGCCGAAAGCGCGTTCTTGCCCAAGCCGCAGCATGTGGCTGAGGAGACGGTGCAGATCGAAAGGGGGCCGGGGGGATTGAAAGACTGAACACAGGTGAACTTGAAATCGGTCTGTCAGTTCACTGTTTTCCAGTTGCTGTCACTGTTGTTTTCCGCAAAAAGTTCACACCATCCTCACTCCAGGTGCAGATCAACTCAGGTGAAAAACACTGATCAACTCAGGCTCCGGAGCTGATGCAAACTCCCATGGCCATGCGGGGATCGTGAACGATTACGACTGTCGTGCTGGCACTCGTTCATGTCTCCAAATCAATACCTGACTGAACAAACCCTTGGACCCGACTGAACACACCCTTGGGACCTTGGTAGAGGTTTGTTTTGGTGGTGGAATGTAGCTCTTAAAGCAGAGTGTGTTCGCTCAGCCAGCTGTGCAAGTTGAAAATGATATGCCCTTCAGGTTGCGAGGGTCGGCATGAGATGAATCAGATGCAAGTCCTGTTGGTGGGGAAGCCGTTGTTGTAACGACTTAAGCATGGGTGCTGATTCGACAACAGGCATCAAAGATATTAATGACAATGACCTTTAATGACACTCTATAGCCATAGCATCTCAAAACCAAGACATATACACCCCGGAAGATTAACATGGAACCTGAAAACCACTCGATGCTAAAGACAAATAACTATTCCAAAGGTCCATTCTCAGGTTCCATGTTTATCTTCGGGGGTCTATGAGTTAAACCTTAACAGTTCACATCTCAGCACTGGTTTTGTCTACTTGTTAGCGGCTTCTGATTGCATCAGGAGGAGATGAGTGGTTCATTGGAAGAGCTGGAACACTTCAACCAGCAGATGCAGGTGCGCAGGTGCTTAATTGCGTGTCTCCCAATAGTTTGTCGGGATCTTCAGATCGAGGGACTGGCATAGAAGAATCTCCTCGCACAAATTAGATACACTCCCTGAAATGATGGCAGAAGTGGACACCACCTGTTTGTAGAGGATAAATTGTCATCACTTCTTTGACTATTTCAGGGAGTGTAGCTCCGCACAATCGCTGAGGCTCAAGAGGCTCAAGAGGCTCAGGAGCCACCTGTGGCGTCATTGGTGCAGGAGGAGTGGAGTGGGAAGACAGTATCCTCCAGGGGGGAGTCAAACAGTTTTGGCAGCGGGATGTGGGATTTGATTTAGCCTTGCCAACTTGCACAATTTGCACATGTTACTTTTGGTAGTTGTGACAGGATAGTGTTTTTCAGACTTTGCTAAAGCAGACCCAGTCATATCTTGGGAGTTAAAGCTTAAGTCAGGACGCCACTGCTCGGCACCCGTCGCTGCAGGACGCCGAGCAGTGAAGTCATCCAAAAAGAGACCTGGGTCCCGACATGATGAGGATGCAGGGGCGAACAGCTTTGAATGATGATCGTGTGGAATGAGCGCACTGAATGGCAGCGCAGAACAGCTGTGACAGCTGGATGAGAAGGTCTATGTACCAGGGTTCTTCCAACTTTTCTTGGGGTGTGGGAGAGCCCCATATACCTGCACAGTATGCATTCAGGAACATAGGTGCGTCATGGCTATCCCAGGTCAGGTGGCAGATGAATGTCCAACCCAACCACCAACTTAGCACGTCCATCAAGTTGTTGGTCCAAACTTGGGCAGTGTGGTGCTCCGCATCCTTCTGAAGTAGCTTTGTTTGTCCAGTTTGAATACCCTGAAAGCAAACCAAGGGCAAAGCTGTTTGCTTCCAGAGCTGATCGTGGCTCAAGAGACCTCATACTGTAGTAGTTTTTTCAGTACTGATTCCAAAGCTGGTGTTTGACATTCGAACAGCAGTAGCTGAATTGGCAGACCTGGACACCCACAGTGAGAGAGAGAGAGAAGAAAAGAAAAGAACATATTGATTCAGATCACCTGCTCCATCACAGTCCTGAGAAATGGATGCTGCACAGTGCCAGTTCTATCCACAATACAGCCTTCACAAACTGGAATCAGATCTTCATGGTCCATGGTTCTCAAACATCAAGGGTACAATTGCAATTATAATCAACTATATATCTAGACAGTATACGGCATATACGAGAAAAACACATTCCTATTCATGCATGCCCAAGAAAGATTTTCTATCAGGATCAGGCATGGAAGCTGCATCAGACATGTTGATCAATCCTTGGTCCACAGCTGTTTAAAGCGTATTCCATGCTCACCCCTCAGCGGGCGCAGCTCCAGTGGCCATGTGCAAGGGCGTGTGCAGGCGTTCAGCATTGTCTTTTCGGGGTGGAGCCAAGTAGTAAAGGAACAAGAGACAACTTGTAAGTGAGGCAGGAGCCAACAATACCAGCCTGCTCCGCAGCAAAGAGAGAGCTGCAGGAAATCTGTTTCAGAATTTGATAGGTCTACCTCTCGTGAATCATAAGCATGGTCTTGAAGGGGCCTGTGTCCGGCTTTCATGGTTGTCTAAGCTGGTGTAGGACAATTTCTTGCAATTTGTTGAATGAATCAAAGACGTCTCAATCCCCAAACGGAGCTTGTGGATCCCAAGATGGTCACACATGTGGACTCACTGTTGGGGAATCAACATACATTACACGTCATTACACTACCATTGCAATAGAATCAAGCATTTGGATGAGGGACTTTCAAAGGTACCAAGGTTGATTGGCTGCTGCCGGTCTCACACAAGGTCCAGTCCATCGCCATCGCCTCTACAACGCAAGCCGGCGGAGCTCACAGAAGCCGACCGTGGGCACGAGGCAGCAGTGGAAAGACGAGGGAAATTCAATGTCATGGATTTGCCTACTAGCGATGGCCTCCGACCCAATAGCGATAGCCTCCAACCTGCTAGCGATGGCCTCCAACCTCAAAGGCAGTCATGGATCTGCCTTTTGCATATCTCTTCAAGAAAAAGATACAAGTCTCTTGTTTCCACCTCAATTGAGAACTTGTAAATGGTATACACCTTGAGTCAAGGACCTTGAGTAGTTGAACACATGAAGCTTGGCAGAAGGAAAGTGCTCGTTCAGACGATCCTCGAAGCGATTTCCTCGGAACGGTCAGGGGACGACGGAACGGGCGGAGGGGCATCAATGCCAACGCATGCATTACAACCCCGAAACTGGGCGATGATCACTGTAGTCACTGTAGTCAGGACTGTGGGACTGCCAAACGGAATGCCTTCCAATTACTTTCACCTTCCCTCCTTCCCTCCAGTCACTTGGAAGCGAAGCAACGAAGCAACGTGTCCGAACAGGACCTGCACCGCAGAGGCCCTAGAGCTTCTGGTCTTTTCCTTCAATCAGACTTTCTGAAGTGTTCAGCATGACTTCCAGCGTGTGCCAGCTGTTGACGACAGCTGTTGACCAGCCCTTTTCCCACTGAAAAGGGCTCCGACCTTCAACATGTCTAACTTTTCTCATCCCACCGAAACATCCAGGGATGGTCTATCCAAGGGGGGTCATAGAATAAGCGGGCCCAAAGCCGGTGCAAAAATATATGCACGCACCGGTGTCTTCCAGGGCGCTGCTGGGTCTCTCCGCCTGCTTGCTACGGCTCACGGCACGGCTCACCTTGCGCCCTGCGGAGCTCTCGCTAGAGCTGCAAGGAGCCAGTGTAGACTTGGGGCGCCAATGGTGAGTGATGTTGTCTTGGTATGATTAATTAATTTGAGATCAAACTGACCTGTAGGGGAAGGTGTCAACATGTTTCAACACTTTGCGCTGCGCTGTTGAACAATGCTAAGCAAAGCGCCGCCTTATTGTGGCGCCGCCAAAATGGCGCAGGCAACTCGTTTTGGAATCTTCTGTTGGGGCGCTTCAGCTCGCTGTCGTGCACTCTGCACCGCACCAAGCGCTTCATGCGTGCACGAGACCTGAGGGTGACCTGGGAGGAGGCGAGATGCGGAGAGTTGGTGCGGTCAAGATGCGTCACCTGCCATGATCAGCCATAGAAGCTCAACAAAACAAAGGCTTGACTAGAAGGTGCAGTCAGCTTGGAGTATGGAGGCTTCCACCCTGCGGAGGTGGATCTGGGCCTGAACCCTGTGCTGTATTTTGCTCTTCCGCTGGTGATGCTGTGGAAGCCTTTGCCGAGCTTCTACCTGCTATTGCTGTTCCTTGGAGTTTCAATATGTGGAGCTTGGAGGATGGGAATTCAATCCATTCCACAATTGGAACCACATCGCCACGTGGGGCGCAGAGCGAGCTCATGTCTGACCTAATTGCAAGATCATGAAGCACTTGAAGTGAGGATATTCCAACGCTTTGGTACATCCCAGTTGGTCTAGGAAAGCGTCGTCACCAACCCATATCCCTCTCCCAGCAATGCATGATAATGCATGTGTGGAAGGTTTGCGACGTGAACCTTTCGCCTAGAGACATGGATCACTATAGGTGCTTGGGTTTCAATTGCTGCTTTGGTCTCTTCCTGGCACTGCTCCTTCGCCAGGTTTTACCTCCTTCGCCCTGCCTGGCAACGTTCGAACCCGCGCAGAAGCTCCACGCAAGGGTCCCGCGACTCGCGTGGCGGGTTGAGCTTTGAGGCTTCGGCAGGAGCAGAGGAGTTGTGGGAGTGAGCCTTGCCCGAGATACCTTGCGAGAAGATCATTGCTTTCTTTGCTGGGTGTTGGTGCATAAATAATATGACTATAACAATAATTACATACGATTATATATATTATTATATAGCAACTATTCATGCAGCAAGACGAGTTTGGGTGTTCACCCGTTCAGTCTGTTTCAGACCTTGAGTGGTGGAACGGAACATGGACTTGAGTGTTCTGAGGATGATAGCTTGTGCAGGGATCCCCCCACACTATCCTAGAAACCTAACTGGCTAGGAGAACCATCTTCTTGACAATATTGCAATCACTGCTTTCACCATGGCTTCACCAAACCGGGCTGAGGTCGTCTTTGGCGCTCCTGGCTGAATGTGGGCTTAGGTGACATCATGAACTATAGCATCGCAGGTGGGGGACCGTCAGGTCAGGTAGGCCTAGCCGGCTCGGAAGGGGTCTGGTAGGACGGCCGCATTGGTGGAGGTTTCCGGGTCGATGAAGCTAGGAAGTAGTATCACCTATAGACTCTTAGATGTCTTAGATGAAGAACCCACCCCATGGGGCCACCAGGGGGGTTATTAATTAAACAAGTTCTGATCAAACAGCTTGTTGTGCAAGTAATTTCCACATGTGCACCATCATGGTTCGGGTTCCCCCGAACAGCTTCAAAGAAAAAGTCTCTTCGGTGTAAGTGCGGAACCTTCTGGCGCTCACACCTGCCACTTGCCACACCACGAGGATCCTCTCCTCTCTCCCCAGTGGCCTTCCATCGTGTGCGCTTTCTTGCGGCCGCTCCTCTGTCCCCGCGGTGCTCCGTGGTGCAGGCTTGGTGGCAGAGCTCGGGGACTTGCGCCAAGCCACGACCTTTGAACTGCAGGGTCTTCAGGTGCCTGAAGCTGCCGTCGAACGGAACGGATGGCTGAGGGTAGGGGATGGCTGGGAGTCCTTCCGATACCACTGATGCTATCTCGTTTTCTGCTATCTCGTTTGCCCTCCTTGTGCAATGGTTTGCCCCATGCGTCCCCATCTAGAGACCATATAGGTTCGTAGATTCAGAGCTGGAGAAGAGCCTTCCTTATCTTCTGTTTGGTCATAAAACGGTCGCACGTCCACTCCTTTGAGGCTGGATTCGCTCGTCCAAACCAGGTGACGGATGCTTTAGAGCTGGATGCAGTGGCACAACTGCCGGACAACGCACTGTTCAAGTACCGCTTGAAGCGCCTGAGTGAAGTGGAGACAGGGACAATGAAGCATTTGGTGGAAGAAATCCCCTATCTGTTAGTCTCAAGTTGTGTAGGATTTCTTCCACTAAGAGTCATGATGGACATGCATGCTTCGCTGCTTGGGGCATGCACAACATAAGGGTATGTGATCGGCCACTGCCAGCAAGGTGCTATCTATATATGTATCAGTTGGGGGGGGTCAGCAAAGTTATTCAAGACCATAAGATAAGCTATTATAGACCTAAGGGGTTCTCCCTTACTGGGAACTGTCATGACTTGGCTATCTTGTGCTTCTCCTGCTCCCTTGGCCAATGACAAAGGGGGGGTTCCGGTCTAAGAATGCTCTCGCGGTATTAGCTCGACGGTCGCCCTCCACGGTCTTCGCTCGACGGTCTCGTACGAGGACTGGCCTCTTCGTGGGTGACCTGGACGGGTCGCAATGTCTCCTTTGGGATGACCCGGCCATCCAGGCACCACATGTGAAACGAACCACACGATGAGACCCTTGCCGGCGGATCGATGAAAGAGATCAAAGAACGGGATATTCAACACATGTGGTGAGAAAATTGGACAGGGGAGAGTAGTAGTTGGGGTTGTGTTTGGACCCAGAGGTGGGCGAAATAACCTGACAGCACACCTCACACTTCATAACACATCAGCACCTTGCGCGCGGGTGGGTGGGGGTGTGCGCGTGGACGTGGGTGTGGGTGTGTGGTGTGGGGCAGTGTTGGTTGGTGTGTTCCATATTTAGCATCGACTTGACCTTATTTGTTTACTCAGTTTACTCAGACTCACATGTACCCCATGAACATGACCCTAATGCAACTGTATTTCATGGTCTATAGGTGAAGCTATTATGCCCAGGTGAAGCCCATGCTTTTGCCCGACTTCTGGGCTCCGATCGGTGGCTTCGCGGGCCGCCGGCTGCCAGCCCGCTTGCGGCTGCGGAGACTGGAGGTTCAGGACGGCCGAATTCGCCGGCAGCGCGGAATCCGGATGCCCGGGACATCGTTTCTGTAACCGAAGCTTCCAACTGACCACTCGTGCGCTTCCGATCTTCCGATTCTCGCCATGGCGTGTGATGTGACGATTTCCGGTGTGAATGGATTGGTTTGTTTGCGAATGAGTTGACACCATTGACAGTGAGAAACCCCACGTGTTTGTTCCGAGACTCACGTGATGGAGCCATTTCATGCCATTTCTCATGATGCTCCAGGTCACTCTCCAGAAAAGGTTGACCGGTTTGCCAATCAAGCACCATATCCCACATCCCACAACCATTTCAGGTTGCTTCAACAGAAACGCTAAAGCGACTCCTTTTGACTCTCCCGGGTTCCAGTGGGCGGAACATTTGCCGGAGTCCCGGTTTCACCAAGTGATGTGCTGGGTCCAAATGAACCGACAGGCGGATCTTTTCGGATTTAGTCCCATCCATGTCCCACATGAAAAGACTGGGTTCGCACAAGCCAGCAATCCATTCCAATTGAAGACCCAGGGTGGGGATCAACAATTATGTGGTGAGGCTCCTTTTGTGAAGTATTGTTTGTTTTTCGAATTGGGCGTGTGAAGACCCTCTTGCATCTAACATATCTAATTCGTAGTTTGAAGACCGGCGTCCCTTGGGGAGAAGTCCTGGTGAGGTGGATGGCTTTTTCCAATCCACACCCGTCCACAGCAAGATGATGATAGCGCCTTCTCGGCCGGTACATCGAACGCACCAAGACAGCTTCCCTATGATTGGTACTCAATTATCTCAAAAGTTGCTCACCCGTCTTCGGTCGCAACTCGGTCACAACGGTGTTTCTTTCACAGTGATTTGAGTACCCTAGACTAGGTGCACCTCTCCCCGATTGCCCCTGTCTGGAGGATGGACTTCTCTTCGTGTCTGGACATGTGGGAGGTGGCCGGTTCTGCGTATTGCGATGCCATGACTGAGATTTTTTGTGGTTTGTCTTGCAAGAGGAGACCTCCAGAGAACTCTTGAGTACTCTGACTGGTAGTGGTAATGAATCGCAATATAAACTCCGTCCTTTCGGTCCATTCTCTTATTCGTCACTAAGCACCGGTCAGCTTTGGTACTTGGATTAGGTTGGATCAGAACTCCCTGGACCTTCGGGGCCTTGGGGTCCGGACCTTCGATCTCAGCTTGCCCGGTCTGGGCGTCACGGGCGTTCACGGGTCACGGTCTGTGGAGGGAATCGATGATGTTCGCTCAAGCATTGTATCTAAACTCCCAAATAGATAGAACATAATGTTAGAAGTGGAAGTAGATTCCAATAAAAACGTATTGGAACCGGTTCTGTTTATTGGGGGATCACTATAGATAAATACTACTTTGCCACAGATTGTCAAGAATCTGTGCAAAGCTGCGCCGATACTAGAAGCGCAGGCAGCCAATCGACTGCAATCGTTCGAAGATGAGTATTATGGCTGTGTGCCAGCGACTTGGCTGTATTATGGCTATGCTGCTATGCTTTCTATGATGACATTAGCGACATTATTGTAACTTATTGTTACTAGTAGTAATGCTCTTGTTACTAGTAGCGATGCACTTGTTACGAGGCTGTGTGCCAGCAACTTGGCTGAAACACACAATGTAAATGGTTGAAGTGGCAAAGGCAGTGTACCATCTTTGTGCCACTTAAAGCGGGAGCTTCACAGGATGGTTTGTGGATGGTTTCCGCTCGAGCAGGTCCTTAGGTCAAGGATGTGAGTGGATGGTTAGGTCGTTGACCATTCTGGAACTGTCCGCTCACCTCGGAACTTGCGCTTTAGGGCGCCCACATACATGTGCTGAACTTGCGGAATCGCACAACGAAACGCTTGGTGTCCCACCACTGGCATCATGAATTGGCAAAAAAAGATCTGAGTCCCACCACTGGGAATGTGAGGCTGGACATGGAGCAAGACCATGGTCGCGTCGTGCGGAAAAGAGAGATGTATGAAGTGGTGTCAAATCATGTGGATTTACCAGAGATCCTGAGAGCAAGAACAATCAAGAACAGTTTGCCACACTTGCAGGTTTACCCCATTAGACAGGGTATGGCATTGTGTGTTTGATCCTTATGGAGTGGGCATTAGAATAGTCAGACCCCCAAAGGCGGCAAGTCGCGGCCATTGTGGAACCGGAGTCTCCCGGTTCCATGGACCAACCATGTGACCCATGTGGGGTCGGTTTTAAGGGCCACCGTTCGTTGAAGCATTCCGATTCTCCCAAGGCTCTGAACAAGAATTAACAAAACAGGTTGCAGCTGTGGATTCTTAGCATATCATCTCAGACTCATGTTTCCTCCGGACTTTGAAGTGCATCTGCAGGCCAACATGAGGGAATAGTCGTAAACTATCTCAAAGAAGTAACACAAGTTCCCAGAACTTTCTCCACAAGTGCATGGGATACGGATATCATTTAGAAGTTATATATTTTGGATATTTGGTGAGTTGCCACAGTATAGGTTTCCCTTCGCCTGCTCTTTGACCTTTCCATCTTCCTTAGCTGGGCCCAAGCTGTCGGCCGCTGCCAGTGTCGAGGCGCGAGGACTGGTTGATAGCATTAGACGAGGTGTTCCAATGTAAAGCCATGGTCCATGGTGCTTGGAGAATCAACCTGTGTCCCAGTAGAGTAGTATACGTAGTAGATCCTGGGAGTATCCAAAAAGAAGCATACTGCAGCATACTGCATTTTGCAGCAATTACATGCATGCACGGCAGCCAGGCGATACGAGTCGCCTGTCCATCCAAGCTTCGGTCGCCAGTCCTCCGTCCAGGCACTGCAGCCAAAGGGGTGGCCGGAGGTGAAGCAAACGTGCGGGCACCATGGAGCGGGAGGCGAGGTCCGGCGGTGTCCGGGTTCCGGGCGGGTTCCGGGCGGGTTCTGGGTGCAGTCCGGCGGGTGTGGTGACGAGTGTTTGACAAAGGGACGGAGGGACGGAAGGATCGAGGGGAATTTGGTGCGAAGCATTCATGCATGTTCATGGGCTAGCGGAAAGGATTTTGGTTTGCTAGCAATCACCAGAGTAGGAGTGTGGTAGGATAGGGTAGGATGAGTACGTATTAAAATGTTTGTTGGTGCACTGAAGAATTTGCGTAATTTGGATAGTTGAGTCCTCCCTTCACAAGGGATTCAGCAAATTGCCAAACATGGACGATCGAGTTGATACAACAACTTTGCTTCAGTGAAGAAGCAATACCCAAGAATACCCTAAATATCCCTCAATGTTTCTTAAATCGGGTATACATACATTACATACAAATATGCGCATAGATACAACAATTGGTTTCAGAACAAACCCCTCGTTCGGTTTGGGCCTCCTTGTTTGACTATGCCTTTGAGGTGAAACCCACCGAGCCGCTCAGAGTGCAAGAGGATCTTCCTCCCCAAGCCGTTTTATGGAGGAGCATGGAAGCATGCACTTGGTTGGGCCCTCTGGTACCCGTAGAACTTAGAACCAAACAATTACGGAAAAAACAAAAATCTTTGGACAAGTGCCAGCCCTATATTGCAAGTCTCCAGACTAGAAGAGTAGCTTTGAGCTCTTTCAATGCACTCTTGATCATGGGTTGTATGTCGACCAGAGCGCAGGCTTCCCGGGCTAGCCGCTTGAGATGCACAGGAACATATATGACAGGGGCCACTATATTTCCGCCTCAAAGAAAAGTAAACATCACCTTTTAACTTGTTTTTTTGATGCATTTGCCCGTCCGCTTGTGACTAGACGGTCTTGGGCTGTGACCAACAGAAACACATTGAAGCACATGGATTATTATTGTACTGTATAGGCAGATACCTGTCAATCTATGGGCGCGGCTCCTCGGGCCAGCGACCCTTCACCCAATCAATCCCCCTTTAAAGGAAGGTTCCCACACAACTGTCAACATATTTAACTGTGGATGGTTTTGAAGTGGCCCCAGCAAAAGCATTCACCGGAAAGGAATTTGTCTCCCTAAGGTTGGGTTAACATCTTCAGCGTGTACATCGCGGACATGTCCAGGGGCCTTTTTTCGGATCAGGGAGGAGCAAAGCACCCCAATCTTGACCGAAGCGTGATCAACCTGGGGGTTCTGGTGTCAAATCTGTGGTGATCCTTTGGCTCGACTGTGGCGGTGGCATTCTCAGCGACCTCAGGAACCAAGCAAACTCAACTGACAACCAACCACAATGCAAATTTACAACCGAACACAACGAACAACAAAATGAGCAACTGGCAGAAACCAACCGAACACAACTAGCACGACTGACTTGCAACCACCCGAACAAGAACGCTACTAGTAGCAAAGGCGTCGCTACTGGGAGAGTGCCATGCCCAAGCCGGTGTTGCACCCCCTCCAGCTACAGCAGTACTCTGCTGATCTTTGCTGACGACTGATGACTCTTTTAGGCCAAGACGTCGTGTGGAACGCCAACGCCTTCAGAACGTCGGGCCTTTCAAAGACCAGTCGTGGTCAGGATTGTGTGGGATGCTGGGCCGGTGCGGCCCCCACTGAAAGGGTCTGTGAAACATTAGTCATTAGTTACCTCCATGGTCAAAATGCTTTCTGGCAAGTGGGACAGATGGTGAAGGTGAGCTGACGCCCAGAGGGGTCAGTCGAATTTTGCCAATTGTCTTTGCGGGCTCAAGGCAGCTTCTGAGTCTGAAGCCGGGGCGATGTCGGACAGCTCCTCAGACGGGCCGCCAGACAACTACCAGGGCACCTACTTGTAACATGTACCAGAAGTGGGGCGACAGTGAAGACCGCAAAGGCAAGCGCAGAGAAGGGCACGGGCAGTGGAAAGAAGCGAGAAGGGGAGGAGAGCGACTCTGAGATTGAGTGAGCCAGTGAGCTCGCCTGCCCTGAGAGAAAAGGAGCATTTGGCGCTTCTGCCCTTCCTCTCCAATTCTTCGAACTCAGCCGTTCCATGTGAGCCCGTTTCAGTCAATGGAGACTTTTAACCCGCCCTGAGGCCGAGATCTGAAATCGACTACAGCCTCTGCAAACATTGTTCTTCCTGGATTGGTCGGGACACAACAGGAACATTTGTTTAACAATTGTTCGAATGGACTGCTGGGTCGGTACACAACATGCAGCCAGGCGTAGTTCAAGATTTGGCTTTCCTGTTTCTTGACTGTGGGCTTCTTGGAGTCAAGCTCCAAATGCTCTGTGCTTGGAAGTCCAAGTCGAAGCGCCGCAAGGGTGACATGAATGAATGAGCCAGCGCAGCTTGCTGCGCATGTTCTTGTGTGACTCAGGTGCCAAAGCAACGCCTTGCAAAGGGGGAGTCACTGGACCAACCTCGCTTGTGCTGAGGAGGTCGTGCCTCAAGTTTTGAAAAATGATTGTAGCAGATGAGCACCAAGCGCGTTTTCCCGGCGTTGTGAAACGCATTTGTGCATCTGAAGACTTCCATGACACAACAAAGAAAGAGACAGGACTGGTTTACTTTGGTTTGTGACACTCTTGTCAAAAAGAGCAAGGCAACATGAAACAATTGTTTGGTTTTGTGAGCCCGGAGGACAAACCGTCAGGGACAGGCTCAAGGAGATTCTGGCTTGCTGCGGGTGCCCAGATTTGTTGCCAGCTTGAGAAAGAAGGAGTGGCTCTCCGCCGTGGGACGGCGCAGCAAATATACTTACAACTTCTTTTGCAAGATGAAAAAAGTTGACTTTTGCCCTCCCCGTGTGAGAGTGCCAAGCCGCCAAACTTTTTGAAAAGGGCTGGTGGAAATTTTAACTCAGGTTTTTCTCCCTATGCGGAGATATGGGCAGGAGTGCTTTCAGGTCGAGGATGCTTTTTCCGATGCTGATAGTTCTTTCGTGTATGCGCATCGTTGCTTTCCTTATGCAGACAGTTCCTTTTGTTTTGTATGCTGGGAGGGGTCCGCCAAGGTGTCGACGGTGGCCATCGAACCGAATCCTTCAAACAGAATCCTTGGATAGTATATAGGCGTCCGTCAAATAGAATCGCGCCGACGGTTCTTGTATGCTGGGAGGTGTCGAGGGTCGCCGTCCATTGCTGAAGGGGCTCGCCAAACAGAATCCTTGTTAAAGGATCCCTGTCAAACACAGATCCTTGTGAAAGTCAGCCGGGTGTTCTGTAACAATGTAGGACGAAGCCCTAGGCAAGCACTGAGTACACCATAGGTGCCCCTAAAGATCTAGGAACCAAATGAATGGTGCCTGCGCTGCTTTCTGGAATAAACCTGACCTATCTTGCGTCCATATTAGTCGCTTACTTGTAGATACTAGCTACCTAGCTACTTCTTTGCAGCCGATCCTCATTTAGAGACCTTTTTTTGTACTTGTAAAGCACAGTGCCTTGATCAGCTGTCATGTGTTTTCCACTGCCGCACTT